CAAATATGAATTCGCACCCGCCATCCCAGGAGGGCCGGTATCGACCCCGCCCCCGACATTTTCTGCAAAGAAGATGATGCGCGCACTCTCGCGCATCAGAAATCAGCAGCTTCTTGTTTTAAAAATCCGTTGCAAAAACAAGACGAAGTGCACGCGCGGGCGCCATTGCGCGCGCGTGCCGACATCATCGAAAAACCGGTGTCGAAATGATTTCAAAATCGAGTGTCACGAAAACATGTGGAAACACATCGTTTTGCGGTAAGAAAAGTTTGCGCCCGCATTTTTCCAAGTTCTTAAGAAAAGCGTTGTTTTTTTCTCTCAAACATGTTCACGACATGCTTCCACGTTGGCTTTTCGTGCGCGCGTCGACATCGTTCGAAAGCCCTTGCGCTCGTGGTGTCGCGAGAACCCAGTGGACAAAAAAATTGACGAGATCGTCGCTCGCGGGTCGTCGGGCGCGCGTGCCGAATTTGGTCAAACAAATTTGAAGCGTCGCGAGGAATTCAAAACCGAGTGGCCCGAAACATAAAAACATGTGGTTGTCCAACATCGGTTTTCAAAAAACATCCGGCGCGCGTGACCTTGCGGATTCTCCAGTAAACCGCGCGTTTTCCAGCATTTCTATCACATTTCTATTGTCGTTCGCGCCGCATGTCGAATTCACGCGAACGCCCTTGCGCGGGTGCTGGGGGGGGAAGCCGCGATCCGTGTCAAATAATGTTACGCGGGCCAAACGCGCGCGCCGATCGCGCGGGCGTCGAATTTTTTCAGCGAAATTCTTCGCCGACGCGAGGACATCGTCATCGTTATCGGCGGGCGTGATCAACATCGACGCCGTCACTGGCCTTGCCGTCGTGATCGCCACTTTCTTCACCATCACTACTGTCATAATCGTGTCTACCGTTGTCGACGTTACCTCGATCCCGCGCCCGCCCAAGTCATCGACTGAAGTGCCCGCTGGGAAGTGCCCCGCGGTCAGCGCCGCCGCCGCCGCGCTGGTCGCGCCCAGCTGGCTGGCCGCTTCGCGCGCGAGCATGCGCGCGCGGGCGATCGCGGCCGCAGATATTCACCAGCCAGCGCCGAGCACCCATCGCTATCGCCGCCAACCACCTTGCGGGTGGGCGGGTGAGACGTTTGCACGAGCGTGGCATTTGTGAACTCGCTTGTAAAAGTCAATCGACCGACATAGGTGGCACCGCATCGGTTGCACCACATATACTGCGCAACGCCAGTTGCACCGCATCGACTGCGCAGCGTTGGTTGCGCCACATGGATTGCTTCACGTATAGCGTACAACATGTATTCTGTCTTCGCAGAAGGAACTAACAACACGATTCTTTCACCCTCCCCCCCAGAATCTACGCCCCCCCCTTGTCGCATTGCAATTTGCATTTGATTATTCCCCATCGCCCTTCCAGTATTCGATTCATACCATCCCAGGCAGGCCAGTAATCACCCCCCCACATTCGGGTCCTGCGAGACGGGGGTCAGTGCAAACGGGGTTTAGCCAGGCCGCTGGATCCTGCAAGATCCTGCGAGGACCCCCTCTCGCTGACCCGGGTTAGCGAGCCGCTCGTGGCCGCGAGGCGGCCGCGCCTATTGGCTGACCCGGGTTTGCGCAGCCTTGCGCGGCAGTTTTTCTGTCCTGCATTTCAGCTGTTGGTTTCTTGTTGACCCGGGTTTGATTGACCTGGGATCGCAGATCTCCGACGCATCAATTTTCAATCTAAACCCTTGCAGTAGAATGGGACAAAGTGCACGCGCGCGCGTCGTCGCGCGCGCACGCCGGAATTCATCAAACACTGTAGGTTTCGCAAGGATGTCAAAGGCGAATGCTTCGAAAACGCATATAACACGTGGCTTCGTAACAGTAATGTTCAAAAGCAGCTTGCGCTCGCGGTCTTGCGAGTAGTCCAGGGAACCATCGGTTTCTTTTTGTTGCCCACATTCTCATACGGTACTGCCAACCGTACTTCCGCGCGGGCAGGTCGAAATCGCTCGAACGCCCTTGCGCGCGAGCTTCCGCAAAACTCCTTTGCATAACGTGGGGCGAAGTGCAGGCGCGCGCGTCGTCGCGCGCGCATGCCGTAACCTCTCGGTCATCTTCGGTTTCGTAGGGATTTGAGGTTTTTGTGTCCCGAACACATCTGTTGCTTTTGAAATACTGTTTTTGTAACACCAGTTTTCCAACAAAAGCCTGCGCTCGCGCTCCTGCGATTTTTTGGCTTCAGAAAGCATTCAATGTTTCAACATGTCCATTCAAATCGACCGCATGGGCCTCTTTTGCCGCATGTCGAAGTCATTCGAATGCCTTTTGCGCGCGTGCTGCGGGGGCACGACCCGTGTCAAATATCTCTACGAGGGCGACTCTCGAGCGTCGGCCGCGCGTTCATGTCGAATTCCCTCCAAAACCTTCATCACCGACGGGGGGACGTTGTCATCGTCGTCGGCGTGATCAGCATCGGCGCCGTCACCGGCTTTGCCGTCGTCGCTGTCATCATCATCGCGAGCATCGCTACTACCATCATTGTGTCTACCGTCGTCGATGTTGCCATGATACCGCGCCCGCCCACGTCGCCGACTCGCACTGAATTGCCCGCTGGGAAGTGCCCAGCGGTCAGCGCCACCTCCGCCGCGTGGGTCGTGCCAAGCTAGCTGGCCGCTTCGCGCACGAGCATGCGCGGATTTGCGCGGCCGCAAAGGTGCACCAGCCAACGCCGAACACTCATCGCAGTCGCTGCCGCATCGGTATTGCAAACCGAGTTGCGGGCGGGTGGGTGGGATGGTTGCGCGAGCAGAGGAGTTCACAACACGGTGAAAAAACACATTTTGCTCTACATCGTTTTTTCCACATAAGTTGCTGAACAAACCTTGCTTCACATCGATTGCAGCACGTTGCTAGAAGCGCACTGTTTGGAGCATTCGCTAACGAGCCTTATGTTCTAATTACATGTCGTGGTTGGCCTGCAGGAGTGCAAGAACGGTCCGTTCCTGCTCAACCTTCTCGAAAAGAGAAGGGCATACGACCAGTGCGTGGTCGGAAATTGGGCGTGCGATGTCCGGCCGCCGGCCTGCTCCTTACGCGCAATCCCCGATCTCGGGAGCAACGTGGGCCGAAAGAACCCTGGCACAGGGATGGCGTTCACAGGTGGGGCCTTCGCGTGGGGATCGCCTCGCAGGGGTCGCGTGCCTCTCGGAGAGCGATGTGGAACGCTGTCTTTGCAACTCCAAGCGTCGAGTGTCGGAGGTTCGCGCGGATTTCCCGGATCGGCGTTGGACCCGACAGGCGGCGCCTCCGCGGAGGGCGCCCCCCCCCGCACGGCGGGCAAGCGGGCCCTGGCAGGGGCAGCCGGCGGGCCCCCCTTTAGGTGCCGAGCCGCGTGGTCCGTGGGGGCCCCCGAACGCAGCCCTGCGGGAGCACGGCAAGCTCCTCAGCCCTCCTCCACTCCCGTGCTCACCTGGCTCCTGCTCCTTCCCAGACACCTGATGTGTTTTTTTCCACAACGTGGCTCCCCAGAAGTTTTTGTTTCTCTCTCTCGTCCCTCCTCCTCCTCCTCCTCCTCCTCCTCCTCCTCCTCCTCCTCCTCCATTGTTTTTCATTCTGAATAACTCCTTCCTGTCGCACCCTGGGGCCGGTCGAAAGGTCGTCTGAGATTCTTCCCCGCCGCTTCTGACCCTGAAGCTTAAACATTGGCAATCGTATAACAGATGGAGCGCGGGTTGTTTTCAAAATGTGGTTCTCGCATTGCCGCCGCGCACACTCGTCTTAAACATTCGCAAGCGTTTGACGGATTGAGGGCAGATCGTTTGCAAAATGTGGTTCTCACTTCAGCGCCGCGCACATTCGGTTTAAACAGTTGCAAGACTTTCCTTGATAGAGGGCGGTTCCTTTTCAAGTCGTGGGTCTCGCCTTAGCGCCGCGCGCATTCGTCTAAAACATCGCAGTAGCCTCGCGAATTCCCATGGTTGACGCACCAGAAATGGTTATGTGGAGCGAATCGCTGTTGTCAGGGCGCAACAGTCAAGTTGACACTCGGTGTTGGAGTTCCAGGACTGGTGATCTGGCGCGATTCAGGACCGTCAAGACGCAACAGTCAGGTTGATTAGCGGCGTTGAAGTTCCGAGTGTGGTGTTTTGGCACGCCTCAGGATCTTCAAGCGGTTCTCTCCCAACGGGGCATTTCCCTCAGTGAAACTGAGCCCGTGTTTGGGACCTATGGACAGCGAGCTTGCTTGGAGGGTGGATTCCAACATCGTCTACGAGTCTTGGGTTTACACTGGTCCTCTTCCTCCTCCTCCTGTGACCCTCTCCCCTGGACCGGTTCTTCGCCACGAGCTTTTGTGTTGGTGGGCAAAGGGCCCTGAGAGGGCCCCTAGGAGGCCCTGAGACGAGCAACGGCCTCCCGCCGTGTGTTATTCGCAACGAGAGGTGCGATCGGCGAATGCATCCGTATCCTTATGATGTTCCAGCCGCCCAGGGACAGGCGCCCCCGACAGCGAAGAAGTTTCTTTTATACCGTTCTTCGCTCGCTGAAAAGTGGGCATTTTGGGATCCCCAGATGCCAATCCACTTCCAGCGCCCCCCTGCTTCAATGATCGAGTGACTTCACCTCTTCCGCCCCCTGCCCAGCGGTCGTTGAAAGTGGGTATTTGGGGATCCCCAGATGCCAATCTACTTCCAGCGCTCTCCTGCTTCAACGATCGAGCGACTTCACACCCCTTCCGTCCTCCTTGGGGGTCGGACGGGACCCGATCTGTCTGCAGCGCCTTCCTACTTTCATGGTTCTACCTACAGTGCCGGTTTGAACACATGCTCCGCGTGCGGATCATGCACTAAACATGCAGGGATTTGGTATTGAAAACAACGCTGAGAGTTCATGCATACATTTAGGAATACATTAGTCATGTATTCAAATTCCCATGTTTTTTTATATAATCCCATGTGTTAGAACCTGCCCTGTACGTCTTCCGACCGATGGGTACCGTGGCCACGGGCCCCAGGCGAGCTCCGTCTCCGTGGCCATGCCCGTGCTGGAGCTCCCGGGGCGGGGCGCGCCGGGCCCCTGGCCGTGGGCATCCGCTCCCCCCCTCCGGCGATGGGCCAAAAGCTTTCCACCACCGCTGCCACATGCTGGACGGGGGAGAAGGGAGGGTGAGGATGTCCTCCTCCTCCTCCTCCTCCTCCTCCTCCTCCTCCCTCTCCTCCTCCCTCTCCTCCTCCTCCTCTTACTCCTCCTTCTTCTCCCTCTCCTCCAGGATGTCTCCCTCTCCTCCTCCCTCTTGATGACGGGCGTGTCATCATCATCATCATCCCTCTCCTCCATGTGGTAGTGGTCGTGGAAATGGGCCCATCACCCGGCCCGGCTGGCCGGCGGCCCCTCGGCAGGGGGACCTCGTGGCACCCGCGGGTCGCCGAGGGTCCGCAGCTCTCGTCCCCACCCTCCCACCACTCCACTTGAAGATACACGCCGGTCGTTGAAAGTAGGTATTTTTGGATTCCCAGATCCCAATCTACTTCAAGCGCCTTCCTGCTTCAAGAATCGACACGCTTTTGCTGTGTTTTGTTATTCCCTGGGGGGGCCTGGACCCAATCAACTTAATCCGCCTTCCTACTTCATGTTTTTACCTACTTCTTCCGACCGACGTGTAACTGGGCCCCTCGAAGTCCGAAGGGGACAGCCCATATCCCCATCTGGCGGGTACATTCGCCAGGGGTGCCCAGGCCACGCGAGCGGGGATATCTGATCCCGGGCTCCGGGCCCACGGCCCCCCCCCCCCAGATGGGCTGGGTCCCGGGGCTCCACGGGCCCCCCCCCCCGATGGGATGGGAGTGTGGGCGACGACGGCGACGACGACGACGGCGACGGCGACGACGACGGCGATAACGACGACGGCGACGTTGACGACGACGTTGACGACGACGACGACGGCGACGGCGACGGCGACGCCGACGACGACGGTGGCGGCGGCGGCGTTGGCGGCGCCGACCTCCAGAGCTCTCCGACGACGACGGCGGCGGCGGCGACGACGACGACTTCTGGAGCTCTCCTGGCGCACCTCAATACCACGCCACACACGCCACACCCACAGCACCACGCCACACCCAAAAGGGGGGGTGGCGGGGACCATCGCGCGGGAGGGGGGAGCGATGGCATCAGCATAGGGGGCGGGGGCCAGTCCGGGGACCATGTATAGGGATCGGTTGAACGATGCTCAGAGGGTGCAGTTTTCGGGGGCGTCGACGACCCAGAGCTTCGACGGCATGCGTTCTTTCCCGTGCCTTCTGCGCTGGGTTCTCGGTTCGATACAGCCCTGCGGTCGCGACCTCCTCCTCTCGCCGCCCTCCTCTTGTCTTCCCTTCTCCTCTTCTCTGCGGCTTCTTACCTGGCACTCTCCTGCCTGCCAGTTTGCGTCCTACCTCGCCGTCTTTCGCGACCTCGCCATCTTTGGAGGGCTGCGAACTGCGAAACTGTCTCCATTTTCAAAGGCTGCTGGGGGGTCCAGCGGAGTGACGCTCCGCTGCAAACTCAGATTGGAGCTCGCCATCCCTGGGAGGGCTGCGAAGTGCGACAGTGTCGCCACTTTCAAATGCTGCTGGGGCGTCCAGCGGAGTGATGCCCCACCGCAGAGTAGACCTCGCCATCCCGTGGGGGGCTGGGCACTGCTCAACTGTCGTTACTTTCTACTTTGGAGGGTTGCTGGATGGTCCATTTGAGGGACGTCATACGTAGACCCTGCTTAGACCTAGCCATCCCTAGGGGGCTGCGACTTGCGAACGTGTCGCGACTTTCCCGGGCCTCGGGGGGGTCCAGCGGAGTGACGTCATTCGCAGAGTCAGATTGGACCTCGCCATCCCTGGGGGGGGCTGCGAACTGCGCACCTGACGCCACTTTCGAGGGCTGCTGCGGGGTCCAGCGGAGTGACGGCATACGCCGACTGAGATTAGACCTCGCCATCTTTGGGGGGCAACGAATTGCTCAACTGTCGACCTTTTCGAAGGCTGCTGGGGGGTCCAGCGGAGTGACGTCATGCGCAGATGTAGATTCGACCACCCCACCCCTGGGAGGCCGCGAGCTGCGAAACTGCCACTACTTTCGAAGACTGTTGGGAGGATCCAGCGGAGTGACGTCATTCGCAGGCTCGAATCAGGCCTCGCCATCCCTGGAGGGCTGCGAACTGCGCAACTGCCGCCACTTCCGAGGGCTGCTGGGGTCCAGCATTGTGCCGTCCTGCGCCGACAACGATGCGCCTCGAGTTCCTTCCCCGCGGGCCGCCCGAAGGCTTGGCGGCGCGCCTGCGGGCGTGCAGCTCCCGCGCTCCGAAGATGCAGAAAGAGGAAGCGCGGAGAGCCTGGCGCGCGAGCTCGGCCTCGTTCGTTTCTGCATGCCGCTCTAGCTGTGAGCAGCTGATCCCGTGGAGCGCCAGAGCGACAGGCGGCGGGCCGCGCTGTTTGTCCAGCGTGCGCCAGGGGAACACCATCGCCGCCCTCCTTCCTCATTCTGCCTCTTTCGTTGTCATCCTTTTCCTCCCTCCACCGTACCACCGTAGCTGCTGCCGCGTTACCTTTTCGGTCCCGCTTCCGTTTTTTGTTTTTGCCCCGTGTTCCCACCCGCATTGTTTCTTCGAGGCTTTTTTGGTTCTTTCTGAGGCTGGTTCTGATCAACAAACATATTGGATTCTGTTTGGTGAAGGGGTGAGGATTTGGTAGTGGGGTCACGTATTCGATCTGATGCTTCCCGCCTTTCTCCGCGCAGTGCGTCTTCTGCCCGTTTCCCTTCCGCCTCTGGATAGGCCGCGCGGGGAAATCTGGGGGCGCGCGGGAGCGCTTTGGGATCCCAGGCGCCCTGCCCTTTCATCAGAATCGCTGTAACATATGGGTTACAGAGTGCACAGAACTCGACGACCGGAGGAGCACCCCATTCCGCGCCCAGAGGCACGGCGTTGTACACACGTATATATATATATATGAATAGACCATACTATATATGTATAATCGCCCCCCTAACCCCGGGTGCCACACCTCCCCGCCACATCTCGGGGACGCTCTTGGTACCGCTCCCCCAGCCTTTCCGGGGGTCTCCACAGCGCTCCAGGAGGGCCCAAGACGATTCCCAGAAGCGCCCAGAATGCGAAAGGATTGTCCAAGACGCTCGCAAGCAGCCCAAGTCAGCCTTCCGACGGTTCTCGAGGCTCCCAGGTAACCTCCAAGAGACCCCAAAAGAAGTCCGAGAGGCGTCCTGGGACAGCCCAAAGATGCCCAAATCGTAGATTTTCATTGTTTTTTCTCTATGTTTTGAGCTTCTCGCGTTTTCGAGTTTCGAACGGTCCATAAGCGCCGAAGAGGCTCCCAAGACCGCCCAAAGACCACCCAAGAGACCCTCAGGACGGCCCCGAGATGGGCCAAGAAGGCTCCAAGACTGCCGAAGAGGCGCCCAGGACAGCCCCAGACCACCCCAGAGCAGGCCCAAGATGGACCCAAGAGCGGGAGCAGGAGGCTTCCAGAGACTTCCGAGAGGCCTCCAGGACCCCCGAAGGTCAAGTCTGTATGCCCGCGAAGGGGCGTCCGCTTAGGGCACAGGCGGGTGAAAAATAGCAGACGCTCACGTGGTGAAGAAAATCTCCTGTCATACAATTCCAAGAATGTGGCTCCCAAAACAATTCCGGGACCCCCCGGAGGCCCCCAAAACACCCCCGATCCCTGAGAGGCCCCAAAAAGACCCCGAAGAGGCTCCAAGAACAGCCCAAGAGAGCTGCGAGAGCCGTTCCGAGAGAGCCCAAAGAGGGTAAAATCGTTGATTTCCCATTGTTTTTTCCTATGTTTTTCGCCTTCCCACGTTTTTGCGCTTCCAACCCTCAAAGGTCGAGGATTTGAAAGAAGAAAAAGGAATTCCCAGAATTTCTGTTCTTTCTTTTCAAGTGGAACTCGTACTCGGGGGTCCTACACATCCCCTGACATCTGGCCGGTACCGCGCCTCCCGGCTTCCCGGGGGGAGACCCCAAGACGCCGAAAGACAGCCCATGACGACGCCAAGGAGCCCCCAGAACGTAAAGAACGGCCCAACACGCTCCCGCGCAGCTCGAGACACTGTTCCGACGGCTCTCCAGGCCTCCAGGAGGCCTTCAGAGTCCCCAGGGGGTCCAGAAGATCCCACACCCCTGAGGGGCCCGGCTCACAAAACCCGCGAGGCACAAACAAAAAACAGCGCCGAACAACGCCGAGGAACTAGAACAAAAATGGGAATCCCACAAATCATTTTGTTTGTTTTCCAAGTTTGGCCCCCGGTCTACTCTTGCACAGCAGACCACAATTCAGACCCCCCTCACCTCCCGGAAATTCCAGGAAGCCTTTGAGGGCCCCAAATCGTTGAATACCTGAAGGGAACCAATCATTTCTGCGTTTCCGCACTTCCCTTTCTATACGATTCCGAGGCTTGCGCAGGGCTTCCAAGGTAGTCCCTGGACGCAAAGAAGCTACCAAAGTGATATTACATGAGTTAGCTTACCAAGCCTAGCTAGAACTTGAGCGCGCGCGCGAAGAGCTCGCGACACATAACATATCTGACAGATATCGCGAGAAAACGACACATAAAGACAGAGAGAGAGAGAGAGACAGAGAGAACAACACAACAACAGTAGTAAGGAGAGGGGACAACCAGTGATCACGAGAGGGATATGAATATATAGGCAGGTAGGAATGAGCCCGCACTTGTTCATGTATGTTTATGTATGTGTATATGTGCAATGTTTATGTATGTCCGCATTGGCATGTGTTTGTACATGTATGTGTGTATTCATATGCTTATGTGTATGCACATGTGCATGTATGTGTACATGTACATGCCAAGATGTAGACATGTGCCGTTACATATGTAGATGTGCATGTACACGTACGTATGCTTATGTGTACATGTAGGTGTATGCGTTTGGGTATGCATATGTGTAGGTACATGTGTATATGTTGTATTGGCATGCGCATGTACGCATGTATATGCACATGCATACGTACATGCACGATGATATACCTACATGTGTAG